ACTCAATTATGTTTTGGGAGGTGACAAATAAATAAAACTACTACTTTTTAAAAACTTAATTCAAAGAAAGAAAAAGGTTACCTTTTCAGAAAGTGACAAAAATAGAAGACAGTAGGCAAGGGTTCAAAGTGTGTCAAATGGTATAAGTCAAAGTTCTTTCTTTATCAGAGATAACGTCATCACGGTCTCCAACAACACTGCTCCAATGAGAAACCTTGTAGTCTCATGATCTTTTCAATCTGTTGGAGAAAAGAGCTCTAAACTTCCCCACTCCCCATCACTAAGACAGCAGACTGCTGAAGAATTAAGAGACTAACAGAACGTATCCTAGGAGAAGGTTCCATTCTGAAATCCCTAGAGAATATTCAGGATATAGAGAAATTTTTGCTGTCCAGGTCTTCAATTGGTCAGTTTCAACTGTGAGTCCTGAGAAAGAAGTTTTTACTTCTCACTCTCCAAAAAGGATTTAACTGTTTAGTTTGGCTGCAAAGCTGACACAACTCCGATCTCAAACAAAGAGTTCTCTGCGAAAGGGTCCAATTAGGGTGTGTGTATGTTTGGGACTTGGGGTTCAGGGGCAGGAGAGGTAGCCTATAACCTACATTGTTGTTGTTATCAATTGCCATCAAGTTGGTTCTGACTCAAGAGACCCTGTACAGGGTTTTCAATTAGTAGCTGGTGAGCTTGAACTATCGACCTTGCAGTTCACCCCTTTAACCAACAGCACCATACCAGGACTCCTAAATGGTATTCTAATTAGGTACTCATGCCTACCTAGGAGTGTGTCCAGAGTAAGCCTTCCTCCCCTGGAAGGATAAGTGTATCTGCAATTACAATAAGAAGTCTGTTAAGACTTGAAATTCAAAGACTGCATGATTGTTCATTAGGTTCACAATACACAGAACACATGCTACATAGAATACAAGGGCTGTTAGTACTAGTTCTGAGTTGAGGCAGGCACTTAGAGAGGACTGTACTCTCCCACATGCATTCACCTCTCCTCTTCCATTTACCAATTCTCTGCTCTCATTTCTTTCTCCCTTTTCTCAAGGCACAGACATGGTGGTGGCATCTGTATCCTAATCCTGAACCATGTAATTCTCCATCAAGGTAGCACTCCCAAGCAGCAAACGTGATGCTAAGCATTTTCACCTGCATAATCTCACTTAACTGTCACTATCCATCTGGAAGCTTACTGTCAGTAATTACAAGTGTGAACCAAAACTTAGAAAGAATAACTTGCCTTTGGTAGGTGTTGAGAAGCCACCAAGACAAGGCCTTTATAGTTTGTTCTATGGAGACAGAAGCCTTTAAAGGATATTGAGAACTAAAGTAATAATAAAAGTACCTGAAATCTCGTGATAGAGAACATTCCTTTTATCATATTTAATGTTTTATTAATCAACAAATTTCCCTTGGGAAAAGTACTTCAACACATGCAGTATACTTTAATTGCACTCTCCCTAAATGGTATTCCAATTAGGTACTTTTGTCTACCTAGGAGTGTGTCCAGAGTAAGCCTTCCTCCCTTGGAAGGATAAGTCTATCTGCGATTACAATAAAAAGTCTGTCAAGACTAGAACTTTTTGAAGCCCCCTTATGTTTATCTATATTGTAGTTGTTCAGTGCTGTAGAATCAGTTCAGACTCATAGCGAAGGGTTTCTGATTCTGAGGCTCTTTAAATTTTTGAGGGAGCATAAACGCCTCATCTGTCTCCAATGAGTGGCTGCTGAGCTTGAACTGTCGACACTGTGGTTCGCAGTCCAGCGCTTATCATATGGAGTCACTGTGCTGCTCATTGATCTATAATATTTAAGAAATAATCTATTCAATAATTTCACAATACTTCTAACTTTTAATGAACAGAATGTGAGAACTTTTACAAGCACAGGCGGAAGACCTTGAGGGTTATTTGATTGAGCCCTCATTATAGCTAATACACAAGGTTCCTGGTTAAAGATATATAAAAAATTCGAACAGACAAAAGCCCAATTAATTTGTCTGTGCCTCTGTCACACACTCATCACTGACAGTTCTTGGCTAGAAAAGCTCTGGTTATGATTTTACCACCCTAAAACAAAAAGCTTTCAACACAGTTTCTGGGACCACCTCTTGTCCATACACAAAACAGAGAACAAACACACCAAAGGATACCAAAAAACAATCTAGGCAAAAGCCATACACCACCCATCCTCCTAAATGTCCCCTACCTTTCTTGTAACATATGTTCACCTGCTTTAGTTCCTTACTCAGGATACCTGCAACCCTGGTTCCAGCTTTGGCTTATGTACACATTTGTCCTCATTAAGTCAACCAGTAGTACTCATAAACAGGGAAGTACTAAAAATCTGGATTCCTGGTATGGTGCTGCAGGATAAGCATTGGACTGAGGACAAGAAGGTTGGCAATTCAAATACACCAGTTGCTCCTAGGAAACCCTATACAGGGTTGCTATGAGTTGGTGACTAACTCAATAGTACTTAATAACAACAACTAGCAGCGTTTGGGCAGCAAGTTACTAAACCTCTCAACCTCAATCCCTTATAGATCAAATGGAAGCAATACTATTGTAAGAATTAAACGAAATAAAGTATCTCTTAGCATAGTATGTATAACATACTAACCATTCAATAAACTGTGCTTACTCTTGTTCATGGTACATATTATACGTGGGCCATGTATCAAATAATTCACATACTACCTCAATTTCAAAACTACACTTATTTCAGTTTATCTTGATAGCTACTGTATATAAATCAATTCCTGACTTTCACATCCAGAATTCTACACCACTGGGGATAGAGACCTTTCATCTCCAAAGCAATCATAAAAAAATCCAAAACATCTGACCTTAATATAACCAAGACTTAAAATTTTCATGGGATTAAGAAAAAACAAGATTTTGACTAAAAGACTCCCTCCTAGGTATATCAGACAGCTTAATTCTGTCTAAAATGTTCACGTTAAATATATCATTCAGGAGAAAACTGTTCAAGAACGTCATTTTTAGCAAGCCTTATACTCAACTTTGTTTAAAAAAGAAGGTGAAGCCTTTAAAAGATTTAAAAAGGAGCTCAGAAACAAATTTAAGAATGCTGTTACTTGCTAAGCAGTGTTATCTTCAATGTTACTCCACTCAAATAACAGACAAATTAAGGGTGTGAATTTATTTTTTAGATTCCTCTAGGAAAAATAATGTATGCAATTCTGATGTCAAATCTGCCTATGAAAATAAACTGTCATCTAACCTGCTCCAGATGAGTAAGAAAAAATGTACAGGTCACATCTAACTTAAACAACAATGCAACAACAAAAAATCGACAAAAGCCAATGCTCAATTGAAGGCTTCCAGTAACCCAGTAGAAATTCCAGTGAAACTGAAGAGTCTGGTTAATTCCTGGTGCACAATGGGTCAAGATTTATATTACACTCCCCCACCCCAATACAGTAGTCTCACGCTTGGGGGATAATTATTCACTTTACAATGTGACACAGGACCGACCATCTGTGTTCAAGTGCCTATAAGATCATTAACAACGCTTGATTATTCTATTAAGTTCAAAGAAAACGAAACCGCAGGAATAAAAAAATAGCTGCTCCTTCAATTCATATTATAATCACTTGTTTCTATAGTGCCCTAGTGAGTAAGCCGAAGTCCAAGTTACTGAATGAGGTCAACTTTCAGAAGACACTACAAATCTGTCACTAATTTATTAACAAAACACCATGGCATAAAACAGTGTGCTAACTTTGAGCCTTCAATGGAATCAAGCTCGTACATTCAATTCATATGGCAGTAACAATGAAAAGCTTGAGAATGGTCAACCTATCACAGCAAATCTAGTGGTCAATGACAAACCTGGGCTGGAAACCAAAATGTCTAATTCTTGTGCTGAAATCAACTTTCCTCATGGCCTGGGGAAAGCCACCCTGCTATTTTAAGAATGCTCAGACACATCAACATGCAATGCTCCAAGAAGTTGTTGTTGTTTTTGCCATTTCCTGTAAATAAAAAGTTTCTATCACCGGGAATAAAACACAAATAAATCAAGCAAACAGAAATACGTGGGGCACACCTTTCTCAAATGAACACTGGGGGGGAAAGGATAGGTGACTAGTTTTAATCTAGTTTATTATATCCACAACTGACACACCTACAATTTCTTACAAAAATTTACAAGAAACTCTTTACCCACTTAATTCAGATCCGAATTTCAACAAATATTAGTACAGTAGGCACTTCAATAGCTGCTATTGTTAAGTGCTGTGCCAGAGAAAAGTCAACAGGGATCCTACAATCCCGATCTTCTGAATATAAAGACCTAGATACGTCAACCAAAACCTTCCCTCCCCTCACCATTCACGCTGTTGGCATTTCCAGTACAGGTGAGTCCTGAACAGCGAATACCAGAAAGCTCCAGAATAATTAGAGGGTTTAGGGCTCATCTTGAAGATTAAGACCCAGATAAATCGAGGAGTCAGAGAGAGGTTGTCTCTGGCCACCTCTCTTTCCTGCCCCATCCAAACTTCATCCACCGGGGCCTTAGATCTAGGCCTGGGAGGGGGAGGCCATTTTAATGAAGGCTTAGAAACGTGAAAGGAAGGAAAAAGAGAAAAAATAAATTGGGAAAGAGCTTCGAAAGCAAGGCTCGGCTCTTCCGAACAGCGCCCAAGTCGGGTGGCAGCACCTGGGGCCCGAAGAGTAAAGAGAGATTCCGGGGCTTCGGCGGAAAGTAAAGTAGCGGTGGACTACCACGAGGGGGTCGAGTAGTCAAGAGACCCAGAAGCGCGGACCTTTATCCCCAGGTTGGAGAAGGAAATCTAAAGACCACCGCGGAGACCCTCACCCCTGAGTTAGGGACTACTACCCAGAGGTCTAGAAGGCGGGAGTTGGTTACTGCCTGATTCTCCTCATCTGGCCATGCGGCGCGGGGGCGGCCATCCTGAGAGGTCCGAGAAGCAGCAGGGGACGAGGGGGGGTGCCGGACACGGCGCTCACCCGCGGGCCGCCTCCAAGCTTTTGATGAGCTTCTTGATCTTCCAGATCTCCACGTTCCTGTCCGCAGCACTGGGGTCGTCCGCCATCTTCTCGCCTCCTCCTCCCTAGAGCGGCCCGGCGGGGCCCGGAGACACCAGGACCACAGAGTTAGCGCCGCTGCTGGGGCAGAGCGGCCCCCTTCCTCGCCACCCAGAGATGCCCTCTTTTCCCCACCCCGCGCGGTCCGCCGCGTTGGTCGCAGGCTTTTCCTTCCCCCTGGCTTACCTAAGGGCCCAGTCCTGGGCGGCAGCGGCAGCTCCTCCCCGGCGGCGGCTCCGCGGCGGCGGCGGCTCTGACGTAGGACACCGGCTCCCTCTCTCCAGGCAGCTGCATGTGTTGCAATCCGCTCACATGGGGCCTGTGACATCACTTCCTCCGCCAGGGGCGGAGAGGAAGGCGGCAGGCGGAAGGGAGAGGCCGGCGGGTGCGGAGTGGGAAAGCTCTGAGAGCGCCGCAACTCTCCATTGGCTCTTTTAGCCGTGGTCTACAATGGGCCCGTCGATTGGCCACAGCTGGAGCCGCGCTGCCTTGTGAGGTAGATCACGGGGGCGGGAGTATCGTTTTCCCTTCCGGCCCGGCAAGCCGGGAGAAGGAAGCGGGCGGAAGCCAATGGATATCGCGACGATTTACTCAGGGCCCAGCTTGGCTCTAAAGGGGGTTGGGGGTGGGAGTGGGGGTTAGTTCTTAAAGGGCGAGGCTCAAGGGTCTTCGTTTGTTCTAGTCCTCCTACATGATGGAGTGGACGTTTAAAGCTCTGCGACGACATGAGGCTGGGTAGTCGGACCCTGAAGCTATTTGATTCCGCTATTTGGATAACGAAGTTCTCTGGCCTTCTTTTGTCACAGCTGCGCGACGTTCAGATTCCGGATCAGTGTGCCCTGTCGGGACCCTTTCCCCCTGGGCCGAAGAGGCAAACGCCTCATTGCTAGGATTTTGTGGGATGGACTAAGGCTGGGACTTCCTGAGGTTGGAGACCTGAGCTGTTAGGAGTAGAGATGGGGGGGAGGGGGGGGAAATGGCTGAAAGAGCGTGTTGAAGTTAAATGGACAGCTTTATAAAGTAGAATTTTCTTTTTGTGAGTTAGGTTTTTTTGTTGACTACTTTATGGCTCCCCTCACCTACTTCAGTTGATTTGTATCAAATATTTGAGTGCAAATTGTGTATTACATACTGTTTCTTGGGGATACAGGGAAGAACCAAACAACAGTTGTCTACCTTCACGGAGCTTGTAGTCTTACCTAGTTGGGTGTCTTGGTGATTTTATACGTTTGTATAAATCCGAAGTCCAGGTGTGGTGCTCAAACTCATCAGCCGCTCCTTGGAAATCATGTGCTGGGTCTCTATGAGCCAGTACTGACTGATGGTACTAACTGCATCTTTGTTGTGAAAAACGTGAATTATTGTCATCAAGTTGCTTCCAAGAAGTGTCTGGTGAATTTGAACTGCTGACCTTGGGGTTCAAACCGACTATGTGATCTAGTGCATTATCGACTTGTTAAGTGCCATCTAGTCGGTTCTGACCCATAATGACTCCGTATAGGCTTTCCGAGGAGCAGCTGGTGAGCTTGAACCGCTGACCTTGCGATTCAACACCTTAACCCACAGTGCCACACCAGGGCTTGGATTAGTAAGTAAGGACAAATAAACCTGTACTCACCTTTCTTACTGGATACTTTGTCGCTGTTAGGGATTGCAATTTAAAAAGACGCTTTGATGATGTAGGCATGTGCTGTAGAATTAATTGGGAGCAGCAGATGCCAGCCATACCTAGAAATAGAATCATTGATGTGAGAGAATGTGAAATTGTTTTTTACAGGTTAATAAATTCATCTGTGGGTTGGAACCAACTCAGTGGCACTTAACAACAACCTTGCTTATTGGGTAAATATTGATGTTATATGCAAGTGGTAATGTCAGGCAAGTGGATCTGTATAGACTTTGAGGCGTTTTTGCATGTGATCTCAACTTTGTCAACATTTTGGAGATGGGGGAGGGATATTACCCTTATATCATAGATGGGGAAGTTGAGTCTTAAGAAAGGTGAAAGGGACTTGCACAGAGCCACACAGCAACATTTGGTTTTTCAGATTCCATGTTTGGTGTTCATACTCCATCTTGTTAGGTTGTTTTCATAGGGTTGTGGTTGTTGTTGTTAAGTGCCATAGAGTCAGTTCTGACCCATAGCGACCCTGTATGTTGTTGTTGTTGTTAAGTGCCGTCGAGTCGGTTCCGACCCATAGCAACCCCGTAAGGGTTTCCGAGGGTGTAAATCTTTACGGGAGTAGAAAGCCTCATCTTTCTCCCGCGGAGCGGCTGATAGTTTCGAACCGCTGACCTTAAGGTTCGCAGCCCGATTTGTAACCACTACGCTACCAGAGCTTCTTAGCGACCCTGTATAGGGTTTCCAAAAGCAGCTGATGGGTTTGAACCACAGACCGTGCAGTTCAAATTGAACTTATGTCCAGAGCGTTACTCTGTAGCCCTCTACCAGGACTCCTTCCATAGCGTGGGGGCTCAGATTTCTTAAAGGACGTCTTCTCTCACATGGGAAGTGAATTTCCCAGTATGGAATTTCTTTAGCTTTCATTTTGTATGTTTTTATCATATGTTTACTTTTACATGACTTCTGTCTGGCATTCACAGTACTTAGTAATGAATTGTCTTAACGGTAAATGGTCTTCCAATTGGGCTGAGGGGTGGCTACAGACTTTGAAGAACACAGATTTTGGAATTTGTGTGGGAAATAACCAGAACAGAGCTGTAAACTCCTTGAAACATTTGGTACCTAAGTGGCTCTCACTCTTGTTGTTGTTGTCAGGTGCCATCGAGTCGGAACCGACTCATAGCGACCCCATGCACAGCAGAACGAAACAATGTCCGATCCTGGGCCAACCTCACTACCGCTGCCACACCCGAGTCCATCAATGATGCCACCTGGCTGATCCATCTCATTGGGGGTCTTCCTCTTTTTCTCTGACCCTCCACCCTACCCAGCATGACATCCTTCTCCAGCGATTGTTTCCTCCGGACAATATGTCCAAAGTAGGAGAGACGAAGTTTAGCCATCCTGGCCTCCAAGGAGCACTCTGGCTGCACTTCCTCCAAAACAGATATATTGGTTCTTTTGGCAGTCCATGGCACTTTCAGTATTCTCCTCCAACACCACAACTCAAAGGCATCAATTCTTCTACGATCCTCCCTATGCTCTCACTCTATGCTTCCTTTATATGGCCCTTCTAGCCATTCCGGTGTCCTGATATGGCACTGGACTACTAACCACAAGGTTGGTGGTTCAAACTCACCAGCTGCTTATAAGAAACCACTCTATACAGAGTTGCTGAGTCAGAACTAACTCAACAGCACTTAATAATGATTTTTTCATGATCTGGTGCATCCCACAAAATGATTGGATGAGACTATGCAAATAAGGTGCTTGAGATCCACCAAGGAAATTAGACAGCTTGCTAACAGTGCAAATGAAGTACATGGAGCCCTTGTTGGGCCAGTACCTTGAAAAAGTACTCAGTTATCTAATGCTGCTATAACAGAAATACCACAAGTGGATGGCGTTAACAACCAGAAATTTATTCTCTCATAGTTTGGGTGGCTGAAAGTCCAAATTCAGAGTGCTAGCTCTAGGGGAAGGCTTTCTCTTTGTTGGCGCTGAGGAAAGGTACTTGTTTGCTTTCAGCATCTCTTGACCCAATATTCCTTGGAGCTTTGCATGTGTCTTGGCATCAATCATTCCTTGGGTCTAGAAGCTTCACAGTGCAGAAACCTCAGGTCCAAATGACACACGCCACTTGCAACTCTTCTGTCTTGATGGTAGTAGGTCCCTCTGAGTTCTGTTCATTTCTCTCTCCTTTTATTATTTATAATCTCAAGAGATTAACTCAATATATAACCTAATCCTGTAGATTGCATCTGATCTCATTAGTATCATAGAAATGAGGATATAAAACACATAGGATAATTACATAGATCAGAACTGATCACATCAGATAACATAATGGGGTTAATTGTATCAAAGTAGATCTAAGCATTGGAGGTGATAACTACATCTTAACTACTAGCCCACTGAGAATCCTGACCCAGCCAAGGTGACACAAAACTTTACCTATCATAAACCCTAACAAGGGGATTGGTTTTGTCATCCTTCTAGAATTAAAATGAGCCATCCCAACTCAATGGCACTTAACAACAACAACAATAATCCCAAGAAAGAAGAGTCAGAAGTTCGTTCTGCGGTCGGTCCCTTGGATCTGTCTCTTGCTTCATCAGTATTTGGACAGATCCAGTGACTCCCCGACCTCCAGCCTCGGACCACCTCTAAAATCCTCTTTAGGCACAATCTCTTCTCCAGGACCATCTTGGCCATTCCCTGTTATACCAGGATCAGCTAGGCACCATTTTTGTGTGTGTGTGGTTAGGTCCAAATCATTGACTAATCATGAGCTCTCAGATCCATCAGAATTGTTCTGCTGAAGTGGAGGCCGGCGTCACCCGTCTGGTTCATCTGCAGGCCTCTTACACCTACCTCTCTCTGGCCTTCTATTTCGATCGTGATAATGTGGTCTTGGAAGGTGTGACACTTTTTCCGTGAGTTGGCAAAGGAGAAGTGCGAGGGTGCCAAGTGTCTCTTGAAACTTCAAAACCAGCACGGTGGTCACATTCTCTTCCAGGATGTGCAGAAGCCGTCCCAGGATGAGTGGGGAGGAACCCTGGATGCCATGGAAGCCGCCCTGGCCCTAGCAAATAACCTGAACCAGACCCTTCTGGATCTGCACGCTGTGGATGCTACCCACACAGACCACCACCTCTGTGACTTATTGGAGAACCATTTCCTCAGTGAGGAGGTGAAAATTATCAAGAAGATATGCAACCACTTAACTGACCTCAGCAGGATGGCGGGTCTCCAGGTAATGCTGGTGAATATCATCACCCTCAAGCACTACTAGGAAGAGCCTGTGAAGCCCGGCAACCCATGAAGGGCCTTCAGCTTTCCCCGGCTCTCCTCAGACCTTCTATATGAAGCTTGCTCTCCAGCCACAGAGGCAGTATTGTCAACACCGTGGAGCCCTTTTTTCTCTCAAGCCAAGGGCCAAATGAAAACAATAAAGCTGCTTTTTACAACAAAAACAGAAAGAAAGTAAGGAGTAGAGCACATTCTTTGGACCTGAGACCACTGGCTGAGAACTAGACAGAGCTGAGAGCTGTAACACTGGAGATAGTGCAAGTTGGGGAGAATTGATGTCATCAATATTAGGACTGGTGTGAGAACACACACTGAGTTTTCTGACACATGGAAGTTAGTGAACTGAGTGCCTTAGGCAACTAGGGGCTCTAATCCACCACATGACTTTGGGCCAAAATTTACTGGCAAAGTAGAATGCCTCCGAGCACTTGAAAAAATTTCTTTTTATTGTGAA